GTGATAAGCGGCCATTTTTGAGTACATCAAAGAGTTCTCACCATACTAAAACAACAGAAGGTCTCTGTCGCATCCTGTCGTTATCTTACCAGTCGTAGATAGTAAACAATGGTTTTGGAGGTAAATGAATCAAATCACTCTTGTCTCAGTAGGCATGAGACAGAATAATGCTTAGAGGCCACAGTCTTGAGGTAAACAAAGTTTGGGTTTGACATTCCAATCCAAGTTACTGCTACAATATGAATTCTGGCATTTTACACATAGGCCACCAGGAGGCACCAACAAAAAAGCCATGAGATTTGGACCATCTTGTGGGGGAAAAGCAGATTACTTCCTACTCATGAGCTTCCCCTCTGGTGGGGAAAATTTTTTCACGGATACAAACTTTTTCAGAGGACCGATAGACGGCAGCCATTACAGACAAACGTGTTTGTTGTTGTTCCAGCAGTGGCTCGGTCACATGCTAATGTCATTAGTTTGTTATCATTACTAAGGTGCAGGACTGCTTCCCCCCCTTTTTTCCACATCATGTCACCTGCTTGGATCTGATATTATCTCGCTCTTAAGCACAGAGGCGTGTCACAGGTGAGCTCGTTTCAAATGCTTTTAATAACGCGGTCTCATTTCCGGACTGAGGCATTTTGCCGATATTTCAGTTAAAATACACAAGTAAAAACATTTATCCGAGTATAATATCACCCCCCAACTTTATGGATTATTTTATGGATTAAATTGTACGTATTATACTTGAATAAATATGGTAAGTACCATTTAGATGGAAGTTTACCTGTTGCTCTGACATCTAAAGTCTATAGGACAATCAGAAAGTTCTAGGTGGAAAACTACATTGTTTGCAAAACCAAAACTACAAAAACTGATAATGTCCAAATGTTCCAGGATTCTACACAAGCAGTTTCCAGATGTCTGTGACAACCAATTTTTGTCACAGACAACCAGATGAAATACAGCCTTTCCTCTACAATTATCCAGCAGGTATGCAGACATACAAGGTGTTGATTAATGAATTGAATTGCTAAGCATCCATTTAAAAAAAACTGAATTTTCTCTTGTATTAAGAGGGTCTTGAGGGGCTACTTTTTTATAATATGCTGAATTTCAAAAGAGAAGTACATCAATATATTTTAACTATTTATTGTGCCGGCTGTATCAAATACTGACTAAATAAACAAATATTTGTGGATTTCTCACACATTATTAAACTTGAACTTTTTTATAAAATACAATGCCTGGCCAAAAAAAAAAGGAACCACCAAAAAAATGGTCACACACTGTAATATATCGTTGGACTGTCTTTAGCTTTGATTACAGCACACATTCGCTGTGGCATTGTTTGGATAAGATTCTGCAATGTCACAAGATTTATGTCATCCAGTGTTGCATTAATTTTTCACCAAGATCTTGCATTGATGATGGTAGAATCTGACCTTCTCCAGCACATCCCAAAGATTCTCAGTGGACCCTGTGGAGCCAGTCCATGTGTGAAAATGATGTCTCATGCTCCCTGAACCACTCTTTCACAATAATGCTTGATGAATCCTGGCATTGTCATCTTGGAATATGGCTGTATCATCAGGAAAGAAAATCTATTGATGGAATAACCTGGTCATTCAGAATATTCAGGCAGTCAGCTGACATCATTCTTTGTTGCTGAAGCTAGACCTGACCAACTGCAGCAACCCCACATTACAGACTTTAGTTTAACACTTTTTTTGGTTGGGCAGTGTATTCTTTATATTTACAGCATTTTCAAAACTGAAGATAATGTACAGGGTGGGCCATTTATATACATACACCTAAAATAAATGTGAATGGTTGGTGATATTAACTTCCTGTTTGTGGCGCATTAGTATTTAGTGGGGGGTTAAGATGGGTGGTGACCATGGCGGCCATTTTGAAGTAAGCCATTTTGGATCCAGCTTTAGTTTTTTTCAATGGGAAGAGGGTCATGTGACACATCCAACTTATTGAGAATTTCACAAGAAAAACAATGGTATGCTTGGTTTTAATGTAACTTTATTCTTTCATGAGTTATTTACAAGTTTATCTTTGTTTACAGCCATTGACATGTCGCAGAGGTTAACAGGCGAGGAGTGAATAGAAATTGATTGATTTGATCCGACACCTCAGAAAAGGAGTGAAAGAGGGACGTGTTGAATATGGAGGAATTCAGACCAAACCATTGCAGTTCCACTTTATATAGACCCAAACTGAATGATTTCAATGTGAAAAATAAAGATTTAAAAATGTTTCCTTTTAATTAGCTTTAAAGCTAATTACAATTTTTTTAACATTTGGTAATTCTGATTGATTTCAGTTTGTAGTGTTTTGTAGTACAACAGATACACCCAACATGTACTTTAGTGGGGCTGGTTATTTGTGTTTACAGTCCATGACCACTTTCTTTGTGTACTTTGATTTCCTCCCACAGACTAAAAACACATGTTAGGTTGATTGGTAAATCTAAGGTGGGATGGACACGTGAGCCATCCATTGTGTCTTTGCCTCTCACACAGTGACTTTTAGAGAGAAGTATCAGGGGTTGCATTTATAAAGCTTGCTTACGCACAAAACGGGGCCAGAAACTCACGTACGCCACTTTTAATGCAAAGGTTCTGATATATAAAATCCACTGGAACAAAAACACTGGTTTACAATCGTTTATTACATTATAACATTATCATTTATAAAAAGAGAAACCACATTTTGTAACAATCACTGCAAAATGTTATTTCATAATGCGGCCGAGAGTATTATAAAATGCGTTGAAGACTTTTATTACATTTTGTGTCAATTATTCCATAATGTGGTTTAATTACATTTCAAAGACCGATTTTATTACATTATTACATAATGCGACGTTACAAAAGTTGATGTCCACTCCATCTTGCTTCCTCTTTTCCATCCTCTCCTGCAGCGCTGCTCATACCTCTGCACGTCCCCCCTCCTCTTAGGCTGGTGTGTGTGAAAAGATGAAAGGAACTCAGTCAGAGGGGTTGTAAGCACCTGTTCACATATAATAACAAAAATTTATATTTTCACTAAATGTCAAAGTGTTAACACATGATTAACATCAGTGGTTTTGTTTGCATAAACATGCATGAACATGTATTCTTCTGTCAGGAACAAATCATTTGTAACTCTTTAAATCAGCTGTTTGCATGGACAGAAGTAACCAGAAATCAAGTCCAATCAGGAAAGGATTTGAGTCTGAGTTCAAAACTCCTTTTGTCAGACAGATGTGAATTTTGTACCTGCGTCTTTATTAGTGCTGAAGGTAAAAATGTAGCAACAATAACCTAACTAAACACTTAAATAAAACAAAAACAGTCTGAATTTATCAAAAAGAAAAAATCAGTAGGTCTTCTGAACGGGTTCTCTAATGAAACGTTTCGTCTCTCCTCCAAGAGACTTCTTCAGTCTGAGAGTTTCAGGTGAAGAAGTCTCTTGGAGGAGAGACGAAACATTTCATTAAAGAAGAACCATCCAGAAGACCTACACAACTTTTTCTTTTTGATTTTTATACCTGATCACTGAGATGCATCAGGACAGACTTATTTATGTTGTCAGCATTAGCTAGCTTTAACATTAGCATGTTACCTACACCATCACATTTTATCTTACTAAACATAACTCGTTTACTAATCCTCATTCCATGAAACCGTACCACCAAACCCACATACCTAAAACACCTGGATCAGAAATCACAAAGTTATTGTCATCTTACCTCTGATCAAATGTTTGCCACAAAGACAAGGGTAGGCTACTTCCTGCCATGGCTGTCATTGTTTTCTCTCCGTCAGGGGTGGACTGGGGAGAAAAAGTGGTGGAGTTCCTGACAGACTGGCCCACTTCCAAAGGCTGTTGAAAATACTCAGACTTGAACAGTTGCTACAAATAATTAACTTGAAGTTAATCCTTGTGACGTAACCTGACCAGTGAACCAATCAAATGAACAGTAACTGACATCAGATCATGCCGTGCAACCCACATAGAACCACAGGGGATATAAACAAACAATTACCAGTAATCATTTGTACTCTCACATCTTTCAGGGATATTTTATTATGTTTATAGTTTGTTTTTGAATTTATCTTTATCTTAAAATATTACCAACCTGTGTTTAAATGATAGTTTTTCATCTTCATGGTGGATTAAGAGCTTTACTTATTTTATTCTTTTGTTTTTCAACTAGCAACCTAACAGATTCCTGTTATATTATATTTTATAAATATGTCAAAGTTTAATAGTGTGAGAGAAATCCACATTGTTCTGTTTATTCAGTCAGTGTTTAACACAGTTGGCACAATGATTTTTTTTTTGCACAATGAATTGTTAAAATAATAATGTACTCTTTTTAATTTTAGCTTGTAAAAAATTAGTCCTTCATATTATAAAAAACCCTTGATTCAAGAGAAATGTCAGGTTTTTAAGAAAATAGTCACGTATCAATTAACTGTCAACTTCAGATGAATTCATTAATTGATAACTTGCATGATGCATCCCTATTTAGGATATTAACATTTTAACACTAAACTACACAAAACTTAAAAAAATCCATTGATAACTTTTTAGCTGGCCATATACATCAGAATTACACTTTTAACCTTCTAAAACCCTTAAAAAGCAGGAACCTCCAACAAAGTCATGACCCCCCCAAAAAAAACCTGAAGAACCGGAGAAGAACCGGCGAAGAACCGTAGAACAGTTCTAAGGTTCTCCTTAGAACCGGAGAAGAACCTGCGAAGAACTGTAGAAGAACCGGCGAAGAACCGACGAAGAACCGGAGAAGAACCGGAGAAGAACCGGCGAAGAACTGTTGAAGAACCGGCGAAGAACTGGTGAAGAACTGGAGAAGAACGGAGAAGAACAGAGAAGAACCGTGAAGAACCGGAGAAGAACCGGAGGAGAACCGTGAAGAACCGGAGAAGAACCGAAGAACCGGAGACGAACCGGAGACGAACCGTGAAGAACCGAGAAGAACCGGAGACTCTTACCCCTTCAGCAGCAGACTGAACACCTCGTCTTCCTCCTTGGTGGCTCTCTGTCTCTGCATGTCTCCCAGCATCCTGACACTGGCCCAGCTCACCACTCCTTCTTCCTCCTCCTCCTCCTCATCATCATCATCATCATCTTCATCGTCCTCCTTTCTCTTCTCTCCATTCTCCTGCCTTCCTCCATCTGTTTGGGCTGTTGGGGAAGTGTTTTCAGGGCTGCAGCTGTTTTCTGAAACAGTACGATTACTACCAAAGGCTGAGTTTGCCTCCTCAGCTGCCTCAGCTTCTGCTCGCATCACCTAAACAACAACAACAACAACAACAACAACAACAACAACAACAACAACAACAACATTGTCACTCTGTGTCCTTATTAAAAACAAATACGTGTAGGACAGAAGCAGCTCACCTCGTCCAGGTCGGTCTCCCTGTAGCAGCGCAGTGGCACAGCGTCCAGGTCCGTCTCAGAGTACTTGAGAGACCGCCGAATGATGCCAGTTTTGGGAGTGGGGCCCCTGGGTAAAGGAGTGACCAGCTCCACCTCAATCTGATGAACCTGGTGATGTGATGACCTCTGACCCTGCCTGCTCCGTCCTCTCTTCTGATGGACTGGGCTCAAAGACAGGGAGGGAGGAGAAGTAGGGCTGGGAGAGCCACTGGGTGGAAGCAGTGTGGACGAAACGTCTGCAGCTAACATGGAGTGAAAGGAGACACACAGCTGAGTCATCTCTTATAATATAATACAAATAATATCACGTTTCTGTAGTATTCAGTGAAAACGTAGAAATCAATCCTAAATAATCCACCACAAAAGATCAAACTCTTGTGACAAATTAGTTTCACTAATGAAGCCCTAAAAACATATTGCACGTTTTAGTCATTTTATACAGTAGGAATTTCCTCAGTGAACAGTGACCTTCAGACTGAGGGCTGTTACGTGACTGAGGCAGAAAAAGGCTGAAAGAAAAACTGGTAAAAAATGGTAGATGGCTTAAACCAGAGATTCTTAACCTGTGGGCCACAGCGCCACCTTGAGGGTCTCCAAAGAACAACAGTTTTTAACTTTGGGCCGCAGAGGGCCGTGGGACCACATTGATTTAGAATAAGGTGTAATACACTTTCTCACCACTAGTAGCAGTAGTGCACCACTCAGATGTTTAACAACTTTTTAATATGTAGAAGAAGAACCTTAGAAACCTGCTGAGAATGGAAACTTATTTTAAATGAAAAGTAGAAACAAAAATGAAAGTAACTCATCAAAAAACACCAAAGTTTCATTCATCCTGACCAAACAGGTTTTATA